AGACACCACACGTCATTTAACGGACAAATAAAAGGCTCATTAAACTTCGGCGCCTCTCCAATAGATGGCGTTCGAGTTTCCACACGGTTTCTCACCGAGTCGTCAGCGCCATCTATTGGCTAATATACAGAGGCCGGTGACCTTTCCTCCTCCCTTACACAAGATTATTTGGCGCGAGGTCGTCCCGCTTCTAATGAGGATGGGGGAGAAAGGGAGAGAGGAAGAGGAGAGAAGATGAGAGGGTAAAAACGATAGAGGAAGAGGTGGGGGTAAGAAAGAAAGAGAAAAGGGCATAGAGGAAGAGAGGGAGTGAAGAGAGAATGTAAGAGGGAGAGAGAGAGACAGGGAGAGGAGAGAAAAAAAAGAGAAATTAAGAGAGGAAGAAGAACAGAAGGAAGGTAAAAAGAAAGGAACAGAGGGAAACGAACATGAGAGAAATGAAGATGAGGTTAAGGGAGTGGGTGTAGCTATGGCAGGAGTAAAAAAAATAAGGTAGATAAACAGAAGAACGGAGGTGGGTGTAGGTGAAGTTCAGGGGAATGGATAAAAGAATGGAGAAGGGTAAAGGGGAGGGGGGGGTTAAGAAGTGAGGTGAAACGCTAAACGGAAAACATGACCCGTTAAAGAACCGACAAACAACACTACTGAGTGAGGTCTACGAAGATGAATCAAGGGAAAGGAGAGGGGAAGGGGAGGGAGTGAGCGGGAGAGAGAAGGGGAGGGAGGGAGGGAGGGAGAGAGGGGAGAGAGGGAGGGGAGAGGGAGGAGAGAGGAGAGGAGAGGAGAGGGAGAGGAGGGAGGAGGGAGGAAGGGAGAGGGAGAGGGAGAGGGGAGAGAGAAGAGAGAGAAGAGAGAGAGAGAGAGAGAGAGAGAGAGAGAGAGAGAGAGAGAGAGAGAGAGAGAGAGAAGACGAGAGAGAGAGAGAGAGAGACAGAGACAGTCAGAATCCCTCATGATACGATTTTACTACCCTTCACTCTCGCTGTACCAACTCTGGAAGTTATAAACTTTCATGAAAAACCAAAACGAACGAGTAATACCCCGGTAAAAAATACAGAACAAACACGTGAAAACTCAAAAAAAAACGAACAAATACCAATACAAGTGACAGCCTCGCAAAAATACGCAGCACAAATAACAAGTTACAATCTCGTTAAAAATGCAAAACAAATAAAAGTCAATTTCGCAGAAAAATATATGGAAAAAAACAAGTGACATTTGCGCTAAAACAAATGACAACTAACAAAAAAGAGACAACCTCGCTAATACATATATATAACAAATAAGAAACAAGAGAATCTCGACAAAAGATATATGAAACAAAACAGAAATGACTACCTCGGTAAAACATACAGAACATATAAAAACAAGCAACAATCTGGAAAAAGAAATACATGCATAACAAACTTCACAAAACTAAGGCTAAAATTACAAACGAGAACATGTATAACCGCAAAGCCATAATGCAATAACGGGAAAAAGTGAAAGGCAGCACGAAAAAATAAAAAAAACAAGATCAAGAACACTTACAAACTCAAAATCACAATAACAAAAAAGTGAAAGGAAGCGCGAGGCAAGGCAAGAAATACCACAATTTCAACACTCGTTTTCTGTTCATTTTCATACATCTTTTTCATATACACTTTTATATCTCTTCGCCAAAACGTGACAAAAAACACCCAGCCTGTATTTCCATATTTCCGTCACGCTTACGAAGAAAAAAAAAAGTAAATATTTCTGTCCACTCATTTCTTTCCCGACGCTCTAATTAAGCACTCGCTATCCGATGACGTCATACGGTATATCCAGGGACAAAGGATTAGTTCAGCCAATCTAGAACATTTGCATACATTAACGCGCGCCGAGAGAGAGAGAAGGGAGAGGGGGAAAAAATACGGTTTCTTCCAGCAGGCTTGTCTTTGATTTTACTTCCACTCTTCCTCGAAAAAGGGGGAAAGAAAAATCGAGAGAGAGAAAAAAAAAACACGAAATGACAGGAACTTTATCTTTGTTTTTTTTTTTTTTCTATCGCATCCAAATCTGTTCTCATTTGCATATTAGACATTAATCTTCGTCCTACTCGTCCTACCCTTACCCCCTGACCCCACCCACCCCTACCACCCCCCTTTGTCATACAGACCTCACAATGGTAATCCCATAAAAATATGGTATCAAGAGGGGGGGGCAGGGAGAGAGGGAGGATGGCGAAAGGGAAGGAAAAACAAGGGAGTGATAAGAAGGGGGAGGGGGGGGGCGGCGAGATCTAAGATCAAGGAGGGGAGAAGGGAGGGTACGGGAGAGGGAGGAGGGGGAAGGGGAAGGGAGAGGGGGTGGGGAGGACACCCATACACCTCGGTCTCCTCTCATGAATAACTTCCCGGCCACCGGATAATTGTCTCCCCCCTCCTCCCCCTTGCCTACCCCCCTGGCTCCCTCCCCGACGCTAATACACGAGGAAACAACATTGTTAACTTGGCGAGGGCGGCGACGGGAGGGGGAGGGGGGGGGGGGGGGGGAAGAGAAGATGTTGGAACAGAAGGATGATGATGGTAATAATGATCGGTAA